GGGGGGGGAGGGGGGGGGGAGGAGCACTCGCGGGGGAAGAAGTGGAGATGTTTGACGTGTAGTCAGTCTCAATTTGGCGTATCCGAACGCTCGTTTTCTGTTTTGCGCGTGGGAGCTTCAATTTTGTTGATGGTGCGGCCGCGCTCTTGCCCTCCCCATTCCTTATCAGGCGTTTTGTGTGCGTGTATCTTGTTCGTGCCTACCTCGATACCTCGATGGTTTGTGCCTTTGTTCGCGCAGTGGGCGACCCGGCTGGATAACGTGTGGGAGGGCAAGCCCAGGGACGCGTTGGACCTCGCTCTGGTTGACGTGAGGGAGAACTACCCCACCCTTCCCATCGCTCCGTTTAAGGTGCGTGCAACGAACCGGGTCAAGAGCAGTATCGCGGAGGCGGTGCGTTGTGGATGGTGGAAACATTGGTGCGAATGGTACAGCAAGGGGACGGACCAAACCCTTTGCTTCTTGGGGCTTGCTTGCGACGCCAACGAGAGCACCAGTTGTTTACAAGCGCTCTTTTTATTGCTCCCTGAATACTTGGCCCGCCTTTCGTACTGTTCTGCCGGCCCGAACCTCGGCGTTGTAATCATCCGCAAGGACATGATCGACGGCATTGCTTTCTGACTGACTCACCCACGTGTCGCACTTTTCTGCCGACTCGACTTGGTGTTATTAACATGACGCCTTACGCCTGTCCCGCATTGCACACGCAGGACATGATCGACGGCATGATCATGGACGTCCCCGGTATCGGCAAGAACCGCTACCAGACCTTCGAAGAGCTCGAGCTCTACTGCTACCGCGTCGCGGGAACCGTGGGGCTGATGGTGCTGCCCATCCTGGGGACGGCGGACGGGGTGTCCGAGGAGGACGCGAAATTTCCGGCGCTGTCCCTGGGCATCGCGCTGCAGCTGACCAACATCCTGCGGGACGTAGGAGAGGATGCCGTACGGGGACGCATCTACCTTCCGCTGGAGGTGCGCTGCAGGGTGTTGTTATGTCTTTTTTGTGGGGTAGGGGGGGATGGCGTACCTAACATTTGTGCATGCCTGAGCGGTGTAACCATTGTGCGGAGGGGGGGAGGGCACTCATGTTTCGCATGCCTTAGCGGTTAGACCATTGTGAACTCGCACGCATCCCTACAAAGCCGGGACCGAGCACGCCGGGTTCTCACCGGACCAGGCTCGCACATCACCAAGCGCGAAGAGCCGTGTGGGGCGTTTCCTAGTTTTGATAGGACGCGAAAGTAGTGGCGGCGGCAGATCCTCTGCCCGTTGTGCCATCATTTACTGTACCACGCTCGTTGCTCCAGAAGGCGGGCGGGTGTAGATACAAGCAAGATAAAGAAGGGAAAACAAAAGAATGCAAGTGTTTGTACTGTAGAGACCCGTCACCAGGCTGCCCTTCTGGCCCAAGCCAAGCTTCCCACGGTTGGTTTCTCGTGCGGCCGGGGTGCCTGGGCTCGAACAAGCCTCGCAGAGTTGTGTACGGTTCCAACAATGCCCCGTCTAGTTGACAAGCTGTTCAATAGAACCGATGTTGGGACGTGTTTCCATACAAACGCAAACCCTTGCGCTCTGCCTCTCTCTCTCTCTTTCTCTCTCTCTCTCTCTCCCTCCCCCCCTCCCTCTCTCTCTCTCCCTCCCGCCGTCTCTCTCCCTCCCTCCCTCTCTCTCCCTCGCGCCGTCTCCCTCGCGCCGTCTCCCTCTCTCTCCCTCCCGCCGTCNTTGACTTGCAACCAGGACCTGGAAAAGTTCGGCGTAGATCCCGAGAACATCATGAACGGCATCCTCGACTCCAACTACAAGGATCTCATGCGCTACCAGATCGCCCGCGCGAGATTCTACTACAAGCAGGCGGCCAGGGGGATCCCCATGCTGTCCCCGGAGGGACGCCTGCCGGTGCAGGTGACATTTTTTTTTTTGGCAAATGTGGAACGCGCAAAACTACCTCATCGTTGTTTTCGCCCCGAGCCTTTGTTTTTGTGCAGAGTAGAACGCAGAACAGCATTCCTCGTCATTCGTTGTCGCCATGACTGCTGTGCACGAAATACCGCTCAGGAAACATTTTTTTTCTGTTTGTAGAACAGGTCGTGTGCTGCTGCTCGTGCGTCCCGTGCTCTCGCTGCTGCGCGGCCATCGCTGCTGTTTCAAGCTTTGTACACTGTGCGCGATGTACCTTTGGTGTCTGCCTAGCGTGGGCGTTGTTTGGTGTATTTTGTTGGGTCGGGTTCGGTATCCTCGGATGTCTATCTTCGGCCTTCGCGCACGTCGTACCCCCGTGCGCATGCCGGAACCAACAGCAACACCACCAGTAACACCGAATGATGCCGTGTCCGGCACTCGCCAGTGCTACGCGCTTGCGACCAAACTTGTTGCTGTGGTGCTTCATAAGGTCACATTCAGCTCCTGCACCCGGATCACCCATGGCCTCCACACGTGCTTCCTTGAATATTTTTTTTTTCCGAAAACTCAGGCTTCTCTGGACATGTACGGTAAGATCCTGACGGCGATCGAGGGCAACAACTACGACAACTTTCGCAAGCGCGCGTACATCTCCAAGACGGAGAAGCTGCTGACCCTGCCCTTCTCGTACGCCAAGTCCCTCAATCCGGGCGAGATCAACACGGTAAGTCAGGTCAAGGATACCAACAGTTGGTCGTT